ATAATTTTGTTTTAAAGCGCGTTTTTGTTTGGTTGCTTTGTTTCTTGTTCTCAATAATTGATGGTAATAAAATAAGAATATGCGATGATTGGTTTTGAGTTGATTTCTCTCATTTTCGTTTTGGGCGTGGTCGTCGATATTGGAAAATTGCAGCGGGAAAAAATTTCCGCAAAACAAACAAGAAATGTCTCTGAACTTCAGAAGACATTCATCTTCTGATTGTCGGCATTTATGCGGACAATACAGTGTTATGTTTTCACTTCTGAACTCAGTAGTATACGTACAGCAGCTTTTGCCCGCTATTCACCACGGATTTGCCAAAAATCAGGATATGCCAAATTTTACTTGCGTTATCATTATAATGTACATCAACATGGTCCACCCAAATGAAGACCAAGAATATTCGTTTTCCAAGGGTTCTCTAAAATAAAATGCGTTACGTTCCTCACGAAAAAAAAAACACAAATGATACGCTTGATTTTTCGCCATAATCCTCTGCCAATACACTGTACTTCAGAGAGTAACTGTTTTAGGATCCAAATAATATGCGCAAAATAATAATATTATAATAAAATAATATAATAATCATTATAATATTCTGCACTTCAAAATATTACGCAACTTTGCACTGAAGGGGTCAGCCAGTCCAAAATTTTGTTTTACACTTTCACATGATAGAGACAAGAAATCAACATTCACAATAAATTATTTTTTTTTAAACGCAGAAATCTCCCCGACAGCTAAAATTACATCGATCTGAAAAGTTTGTGTCATTTTTCAAAGAAATTAAAGATCAAAAAAGAAAACGTGACGCCTACGACTACACATGACACTGAATGAGTATAAAGAAATCGTTTTAAAGAAAATTGTCCCTTTTTTTAAATAGACATGAAATGATTTGACGGAAAATCAATTGAAATGGTTGACGATTTTTTGACCACCGAAGAAATCGACTTTCCAAGTATACTTGTATGACTTCCGTCAATTCAAATACCAAATTTGATTCTCGAGATTCAAGATCGAAAAAACTTTACCGTTAATATTCGCGTTAAACAAAAAATTTACAAATTAAAAAAAAAATTGGTTGAGAAAAAAGATTTTCATTTTGCGGTAGGTTTTTTTATTTTTCTAGCTGGCAAGACTGAATGAGTGAAAAAAACACGCTCGTTTTAGACCAAATTCAATCTCATTTGAGAAGGACATTACTTGAGTTTAGGGGAACTTTCTTTCGAATATGGTTCATGATTTTTGCACCACCTTCCAAGTACCTATTTAAGAATCCCATCAACTTAAAGACTTTCCACATCTTCGTGACGGAAGATCGAAAAAAAACCATTTATATTCGCTTCAAAAAAAGAATTTTTTTGAAAAAATCTTGAAAAGCATGTAGAGTACGACAATTTTTATTTTGTGGTAGTTTATTGTCTTTTTCTTTCGCTGGCAAGACTGAATAAATAAAAAACGGCTCGCTTAGACGAAATTTAGAAAGACTCTAAATGAGTCGAGGGGAAATTCATTTGAGTTTTTGGAGATCTTTGGACCACCTAATAAAATGGCCTTTCAAATATAGCATGTACTAGAGACTACCATAAATTACAAGACCAACCAAAAATCTCGCGATTCACGATTTAAAATGTCAACTACTACCACTAATATTCGCGTCACGACAAAAACAATTTTTTTAGAAATCTTGTAAAAACACCTGTTGAGTACAAAAATTTTTTATTTCGTGGTAGATTTTTTTTCTTTCATTTTTTTCTCCGGCAAGACACTGGACTACAAGGTTTTCAATTCCCGAGGAACTTGGCAATCGTTTCCGAAGTGCTGCTGGTCCGTTCAATCACCTCGAGTATGAGGTAAACATACACAAAAAGCATGCAAATCATCAACACAGACAAAACGAAAATGAGGCCAAAGAAAATCGGATCATCGTCCGAAGAGAAGGACGAGATCCATGAAAGCAGATTCGTGTCAGACTCGGTGTCCTCCCGAACTAAATTGCTCCAACGGTCCTTGACAACTGTGTTCCACGATTCGGATATTTTGGCAGCATTCGTCTCTTTTTTGCGTCTCCGCAGGTTCTGCACGGGACCGTGAAATTGCAAACCGCCTGAATACAGTATACTGTACTGTAGTATTAGTAGTAGTAGAAGACGGGTACAGTACTGCACATATCGTATTTTTATGCTTTTATGAAAATTTTACGAAAATTAAAGCAACGAAGTGTGCAGATCAATTTACGCACAAAAATTCAGCAGCATACAAAATGGAGATACAGAGAAATCTAATTCGTATTTTTCAAATTTTTGTTCATGTCTTTGGGCCCATCCACTGAATAGTTTGTACAAGGGTTGGTTCATGCGTTTTGAGACTTTTTGAAATAGATCCAACGAAATTTCAAAAATCCAATAAAAAAAAGTACCATCATGTATCCCTATCATTCAGCAACACTTCAATGCTGTTAAACCATACTCTCCGCCAATTTCAATGAATTTTTTCATGATATGAATAAAACGATCAGAACAGTGCCAAAAATCCAAGTTCTGTTAATTGATTAGGTAACCGGTGACTTCTGGGGGTTTTCAACAGTGAAGAATAACCTGAAAGAGATTGATTTCGACGACAGGGTTCAGCCTCATTGTTTCCTTCAAAGAGCGGCTTGATCAACTAAAATAACTCGATTTTTGGCACTGTTTCGATCGTTGGATTTTCCGCATGAAAAAAATGCATTGAAATCAGCGGAGAGTAATGGTTGAACAGCACTGAAGTGTTGCCAAATGATGGGGCTATGCGAGTAAAATGAAACAATTTGGAATGGTTGTAATTTCATTAAATCTATTTCAAAAAGTCTCAACATTAATGAACCAATCTGTTATGAGTAAATAAATTTATGTACCAAAATAAGCACATAAATTATTGGGTACTTTCCTGTTATCTCAGTACCCATTTTTCTTTGTCTTGTGAATTCAGTATTTGTTAGGTTAGGTTAGGTCAGGTTATGTTAATCGAAAGATATTTGTAACTAACATAACCTAACCTAACCTAACTTTACCTAACCGCCTCCCAAAATCAGTTTCAGCATAATGCAGAAAAATGAAATTCACAGTTTCTGGTAGGTGCGCGGAAAGTAGGTACTGAGATAACAGGAAAGTAACAATTAATGTACAGTCCCAAAAATTGAAAGTAGGAAACAATTGAGTAACAGTTTTATCTCATTAGAACCAATAGAATTTTTTAATGGTCTGAATGTCCTTGAACCTATTTATTGAATACCGTACTTCGTATGCTCAAAAGAAAAATAACAAACGAAAAATTACCTCTCAACGCGACAGGAATTCTCCCTTCAATGAAAGGGCCTGGTGTGCTGTACGACTTTTTGTCAATTAGCATAGGACTATTTTCAGGCGGCATTTTCATTTGGAATCCTTCAGGTCCAATGTAGCATGATCCAGAGAAGGTCCTCAAGGACCTGGAATCTCCAGAATGCTCTTTGCTCTTACTGACTTTTCTCTCCATTTTCTGAGGCCTCACATTTCCGAATATGCCTGAAAATTCACGCCAAAAAATAAAAATACTACGCTATCATCCGTTCCTCCAGAGAAAAAAAATTGTAACCCCCGTGTTTCTTTCCAAAAAAGGCTGTAACAGTAAGTTGATAAAATTGCAATAAAGTAGGGCAGAAGGACTAAGAAAGGGTTTTTGTGGAGAAAAACACTTGACGGTTGTTGGACGACTCATCAATCCCCCTAAAAGCTTGATTTTTTTATGTTATGGATCTCTTCGGAATCTCATTTATTATTTTTTAATGTTTTGGATCTCATTTATTTCAAATTTCATCTCCTCCTTCGATAGAAATCAATCATATTTGATGACCTCTCTCGAATTGTGAGGCGTGAGTCACTCAATCAAAATACGCGAAGTTTCTGTTGGATTATTAAAATTATCCACATCTGTGAATAATTACGTGGGGCCCTGAGATTCGGACGCATTCAGTGCTTGGGCCTTGTCCGCATGTTGGATCATGTTTTTCAATTGGACTTCAATTGGAATACAATATGTTTAAGTACCTCTCCTCGATCAATAATTGGGTGAAAGTCCTCGAAAAAATGTAATACTGTATATTGATTTTTATTGCCTTCAAGACACAGAAAATAGCAATGCAGAAGAAAAACACACATAATCGGTTTTTTTTCTAGCAAATGGCGATCAAGAAGCAAATAACAGTCACAAGCCTTTCTGCAGTGTGCACATTTAGCATGGAAAGAACTCTGAAAAAACATGAGCGAAAAATACGCCCTTCCTAGATTTTGAATAGCAGTTAATTTACATTAACATTTATATTTAATTTTTGTTTATAAAAACCCTCAACTCAAGTTGTATTGATTCAGGATTTAAAAGATACGAAATATTCAAGTGCCCGTATTACAAGACAATTTTTGGATGTCGGGGAAGATTTTTCGAGTTTCAAAATGTCCCCAAAGGCAAATCGTCCGCATGTCGGGGTCCCACTATATCATACTTGTCTCGAGACATCAGAAAAAAAAAATGTTTGGGGATTGCACCAGTGATCTTATCATAGCTGTCAGCCAAGTTTCCGGCAGGTTATATTTTTATTTTCAAAATTTATTTTTTATTTCATTTTGGGCGGATGTATAGGAAAACCGACGAGAACCACTTCATCCCGGGATCGGGCGTCTATTATTTGTCACCCCGGATAAAATACGACGCGTGAGAAGGAAAGCCTTCAAAAACGCCGGGACAAACTTCCGCATTCGTTATCCGGATGTACGCGAAGTTGATCACCGTGGATCCCCCCGCGGAATCATAATTGAGTCACGGTATAACGAACTTCTCAACCATGTTCTCCCTTTTCTTCCTGTGGTCAATTTAAAAAAGGGGGAGTCCGTATACGGTAATTAAAATTAAAAAAAGATTCATCAACAACTAATTGTATGACTTCAGACGCTAGTAAAAATTAGCAACCTCACGCAATAAAAATTCATCATACAAGTGTAATGAATGCACGAAAAAATCTCATGAAATTTTACAGTTGAACCTCGATAACTCGAAGCTTCCAAAGTCGAATTCTTTCCAAGTCCCCCGCCTGAATTCCATTAGGAACAATGCATTAAATACCTCACTAACTTGAGGGATTTTCCTGTCAAAACTCCCTAACTCGACTTTTTTTTTAGGACTTTTAGCTGTTATTTTCTTGACACAGGAAAGCAATAGAAAAAGTAACTTGGTGTGTTTTAAAAGGAAGTGACTAATTGGGCATCAAATCAACCCCTGTCTCCATAAGCTCTGCACCCTGTCGAAGTCATTTAAGAAGCAATTTAAGGCCCAGAATCTCCACCATTCACGATTTCTAGGAATTCTTCTACGTTTCCCATGACAAAAATGCTCGTTTCCCAAACTGGAAACAACCAAAATTCGATTTTTTTTTTTTTTGCTGGCCCATTTGAATTCGACTCAGACGAGAAGTTCGACAGAATAATTTGTCCAAGATTTATGACGTAGTTTCGAACTACAAGAAAGGAAACAGAGAATGGATTCGGGCAACATACTCCGGATGCCGTTTGCCAACTTCCTTCCAGTTCCATGCGCCAAGACTTTTAATGAAAAAATGCCTTTCCGTTTGATTGAGAAAAAACAAATCCAAGGACTATCCATTGGACCGAAAAAATAGAAACATGAATTATCCCTTCGTGAGGCATTTGCGGAACCTTGAGCGACATCTTTCCGTCATAAACCGAAACAAATTCCCAAGCGCGAAGCTCTTACACGAGGAATACGGCGAGAAAAATGGGCTTGATAACGGGGTTGATTAAAAATAGAATAAATCTGATAGGTGGTCTGGATCACATCACACCTCTGCACACACACACACACACTAATGAAAGTGGCTAAAAAGAGGATTCCAAAACCCATGCAGGAAGTAACGAACCCCATGATGCCCGGAAGCTTTTTTTTTCAAGCCCACTTTGCCTCGTTAAGACCGCATCATTTCCAAGGTCTTTTCCCGTAACGCTCGGAGCACCGAAGGGTGGGGGATTTGGGAGTTCAACAAGTTCCGTCAGCATAAAATTGGGATAATCAAAATTAAGATCAGAGTACAGTATTGCGATTACTGTACAGTATAGGCCGATGTCAACACAATACAAATATCCTGTTCTAACCGAAATGATTCTTTGTCGATCGGGAAATCCAACTCAATACGAGCTCAATCCTTTCGATGAAGGATTGGAAATTTGCGCTCAGTTGCTGGGCAATTTTCCAGACAGATGAAGGAAACGAACATTCAATTATCATTTCCGTTTTCAAAGAAAAAAAAAAACGGTTTCTTCTCGATAAAAATCACCAAATCATGAAGATTTTAAGATTTCAAAGCACATCGATTATGAAGAAAACTGACTTGCTTTTCATTGAACTTAACTCTTCCAAGCAATCGATAGCCGCACTATTAATTAAACCAGAAATAAGCGAACGCCAACGATTATTCTTGGACCTACCGCACAGTGAAATTAAAATTTCAAAATAATTACAGTTGAATCTCATCGATAACTCGAAATTTTCGAAGTCGAAGGCCTCCCTATTTCAAAATTTTTGATATTTCCTGATTATATTCTCTCTGAAACAATGCATTAAAAGCATCCCTAACTCGATGACTTTCCTTCTCAAGACCTTCCTAAATCCAACTTTCTGATGGTGGCATATTTTGGCAATTATTTTCTTCCAGAGGCAAGATAAAATAAAGAGATACGTATTTCGATTATTCAGGCAAATGCACCCAGGCCTTTAAGCTCAGCATCCTTTCCACTCACTCAAAAAGCAATATATTGTAAGTCTTAAAATATCACCGATTACAATTTCCTGTTCTGATTTTCCACCCAAAAAATGCTTTGTTTCCCTTACTCGAAATTTCCCTAACTCTACTTTTTTGCTATTCCTTTGAAGTTCGACTTTTACAGAGGTTCGACCGTAATTTTAGGTGGCACCCCTTTTTTCTATCATACAATATATTTCGTTTTACGGGGAAAATTCATCAAAAGCTCGTGATCGATCAAATTGTGGCGTTGTTGTAACGCGATGTTCAAGAGACCGGAACACCTTGTGACCCACAAGGTCTCGATCATGACTTAACTGAGGCACATCGTGCTCATGATTCATGAATGATCAAAATGGGCATCAGAAATCCTCGAAAGCTCCGCGACAGCGAAAAAAATCTTTCATCGTTTATTCAAGATCTTGATTCGAATACAGTAGTAACATTTTATTGATACAGTAGCTGAACTGAAACCCAATCGTCTTGCGTGAAGAAACTTTTTTTACGAACGATTCTTCCCAATAATGAATAAACTACGCGAGTACTCTTCAAGATATTGGATGGAAATTCCAAAAAGAAATCACGCTTATCGATTCCTCGCTTCAAGTAAATTTCAGGCCAAAACAAAACGAAACTCGATCCAAGTAATTCAAAATTCTAGAGAATACGTCCGTATGCCCTCCTCTACAACATATCCCACCAAGAATAAGGCGTTGTTCTTCCGGGATAAAAATCCTTTGCTGGATGAAGAACGAACACGAAAAACACCGTAAGTTGTTCATTTAAAACTCAAATGAACTTTTTTTTTATGAATAGATCTGGCTCGTACTTGAACGCAAGTGGGAACGACCCAGGAAACTGTCTTGGTTTTAAAACGAGGCCAGAAATCTAACGGGTTCCGAGGCATAATTGCTCATCACCGGAATCGAGAGATTCCGCATTAATTGCTCAAGGAACCTTTAAGACGAGGTACTAAATTAGAACACCACACTGGACCATCTGGGATGTTCATTACCTCCGGTTCTATAAATTTGAAACCGTCTAAAGAAGTAAAGTTCTGACATTTTCCAACATGATGAATTTTTAAAAACCAAGGCTACGAACTTCAATAGAATGGAATTATTCAAAACAGATTGAAACAAGTTTTCAATTGATTAACCCTTGGCAGTTATCAATTATCTCCGATTGAACGGAAAGCCAACAACGGTCCATGTCTATTTCTCGACCCTGTACAGAATTCCAATTACTGTAACCACAAATTGCGAGTGGGCTCAAATTAATTTCTGTACTTTTCAAAGCCGGATTCAAGTTCCCAAATGTCGGGCAGATGTCACTTAAACTATCGTGATCAGAGAGTCTATACAACCGATAAGATTAATATTCGATCGACACACTCAATCGCGAGAATGGCAATAAAAACAATAAATCCCTAGCATAAGGACGTCTGGCTTTCAATTTGAGAAGAATCAATCTTGCCAAGCTTGCCAAAATCTTGCCAGCTTTTTATTCAAATTTTTGTTGAAGAGAACGACGTCACGAACACATCCTGTTTTCCTTACACGGAACACACAGACAAAAAATTATTCTACGCTTTTTTTGATCCATACATACTGATCAGTGATCACGTAGATGAATCTACAGATTCACTATAGTTCATTATTCATAGATAATGAACGAGTTGCTGAGCACCATCACGAGGTGACAACAAATGCGATGCTGATGGTGATCTTTTCCATCCCTTTTTCGCAATTCAAATGATTTATGACGTCGTCTACAACATCTCCAGCAGTTCGAGGGTCATGTTCATTTTTCCTATTTGGTCATGATTGTATCAATAGTCAACCCGATGAGGATACGATAGCAATATAAAAAGAATGAACAGTTTGTTTTCACGATTATCAGTCCAAAAAATCATCGATGCTCACTAATTTTCTTCGGTCTTGATCACCTTGACAAAACAGCGGAAAGGTATCAACATGGTTTACTTTTTACATCATCAGATTATGTTGCTCTTGGAAGAAAATTTGAGTATGGAACATTTCTGTACCAGCAATTTTTTCCGACTTTCATTTTTCAGCGTAACACCGCACATAGCACAATTGCTGTCTATAGTATTATTGAAATACTCTCAGGCCTCGACACGATTAGAAAATTATGTTTTCCAGAGGTTTTACCGAATTTTTGGAAGAAAATAAAGCAGAATTCATTCAGATGGCAGGGAAATTTTTCGAACTTTTGCGATCTTATTCAATTTCAAGAAAAAGCGACTATCTTTTTCTATTTTCCGAAAGCTCTTCGGCGTTTCAACATTTCATGCTTATAATGAAATTCACGAAATAAGTTAACAATTAATTTTGTTCGGTATCCATGAAGGATTTAAAAGCATTTCTTCGCTCCCTTAAACCAAGAATTGCATTATTTCACAAGGGCCGACATTTCGACACGTGCAAGTACAGTATGTATTTTGTCTTTGGATATACAGTAATTGTATTTTTCTACAACCCGTTGTAATTTTCAATTCTGCGCCTTCAGTTCCTCATTCAAGGGCTCCAATACCGGGATGTATTGGGCCATTTTCTTAGGGCACACAACAGTATTCAATCCATGACCAAAATGGCAGATTAAATACTACAGTATATCTTTGAAAGTCTGCGTGAACAGAAGTGGCAAAAATGCCATAATATTGCATTATGTGTAACAGATTAGTGGCCCATGCAATTTTTGATAATAATTTGATGAAATTTAGCAAGTAACATGCGCACCTTTTCTTCTACAGAAAATTGAGGCAGAAAAGTGAGTATGGAGGAATACATTTTCCATTTTAAAAAATCAATGTCCGTAATTAGCTTCACGTGATAAAATGGATAGGAACTTCTGTTTTGCACAAATTTTAATTCAACTATTCCAATTATTCCATTTAATCACACATGGACTCTCTTCACTACAAAATTCAAAGGACCATACAAAATTCGTCATAAGAAAAAATGTTTGCTTCAGAGAAACTATTACACAGGCAGAGAGCCCTGTGGAACCAAAATAAAATATGGCATAGAGATAACACCGCTGTATGGACAAATTCATGGTAGAAAGTCCACCTGTGTAAGGCTGTTTCGTCAGCAAATAATTCAGCAAATAAATTAGGATTTTTAACAAACAAAAACTGCGGTGCGGGTCTAATACAAGGATATTATTTGTGGCAATTGTTCCAAAAATTCGAGGTGCAAGCCTTACATAAGGGCACGCAGTACTCAAGTAAATCATCTTTCTTCAGGTAAAAATGAGACCTAAAAATCATCGGAAATCAGAGCTCCGAGTACTGGAATCGAAGAACTCTTGTAAAAGAAACAACCAAGAACATTGGTTCGCATAAAAATTTGATACCATGCGAGAAGACGAGAAAAAAAACCTGAACGAAACTCGTACAGCAACCCATGTGCCCACCCTAACAGCATGCCAAGAGAGCCCACGAATACTCACTCTACTCTAACTGCCATCGACCTGAGAAACCCGAAGTCCGGGGGCCTTAGAAACTATTACACAGGCAGAGAGCCCTGTGGAACCAAAATAAAATATGGCATAGAGATAACACCGCTGTATGGACAAATTCATGGTAGAAAGTCCACCTGTGTAAGGCTGTTTCGTCAGCAAATAAATTAGGATTTTAACGAACAAAAACTGCGGTGCAGGTCTAATACATGGATATTATTAGTGGCAATTGTTCCAAAAATTCGAGGTGCAAGTCTTACACAAGGGCACGCAGTACCCAAGTAAATCATCTTTCTTCAGGTTAAAATGAGACCTGAAAATCATCGGACATCAGAGCTCCGAGTACTGGAATCGAAGAACTCTTGTAAAAGAAACAACCAAGAACATCGGTTCGCATAAAAATTTGATACCATGCGAGAAGACGAGAAAAAAAAACCTGAACGAAACTCGTACAGCAACCCATGTGCCCACCCTAACAGCATGCCAAGAGAGCCCACGAATACTCACTCTACTCTAACTGCCATCGACCTGAGAAACCCGAAGTCCGGGGGCCTCCTTACGACTCGCAGAGCTTGATTCGACAATCGTCCCAGGACCATTTCACAACCGTTGTTTCACAGGAGATTTCAAATTCACTACTGTCACTACTATCGAGATTCCGATTATTGCACCCAATTCCGTACTTTGACTAGATCATTCGGAGCCTCTTCCATATAGCCTGTGAACGCATCAAGTTTCGAACTCAGATGAAGCTTACACAGAAAACTAAATTCGCTCCGAATAAAAAGTATCACTGATACAGATTCACTTTAAACATCCTCTCCGTTTTCAGATGGATTTTTACGCAAAGTCGATGAAATCCAGGAAGATTCCCACAAGAGTAAAAGAAACTGAGAAGATTTCCGTCGTCTATATCAATACACGAAGCAAAAAAAAAAAAACCCACTCTCCATTTCATACCATCTTTCAAGCAGCAGTTGAAAGCTTCTCCCGCGAAGCTTTCAATCCCAGCAAAAGCAATCAATAAACCTTTCCGTCGCCAAGCACAATGAAAAACGTTTCAATTACTGGGATCTACAGCTAACGTGTGATAAATCAACAAGCAATATATTTCCTTCCGAATCTTTCCCTGCGAATTATTTGAACCAACAAGATGTTTCACCACTAATTTCTAACTCGTCAAAGATACTCGGAAAACACAATCAGAAGTGCTGAATTAGAAGAGGCTCACGAGGAAGAATTTTAAAGGAAGTCCTCAAACTCTTGAGCGTCAAATATTTTCTTTCGCGAAACGGTCTTTCCATGATGTCAAACTGCATGAAAAAAAACATTTTCCCCTCTAACGCCCGGCTTAACTTTTTCAAAATTTCGAAACTGATAGCTGTTTCACTAACCTGGTCGACTTCCCTTCCTTGAGCTACAAGTGACTTCAGTCCTAATTTAGAAAGCCTCAGGTAACTGGATCTAACTTAGGTTGACATGCAGCAAAGGTAACTGAATTCAGGAAACAGATACCTAAAATAACAGTCCGGCGATTTCGAATAAAAAAGACGATGTGTCACGCGAGTTCCTTCAACTCAATTGCAAAAACCAGTTCCGAGAAATAAACCACATGAACTCAGGAACAAAAAAAAATAAATACAGGTGCAACAAAAAGGAATCATCACAGCGCGCAGATCAGATAACAGTGGCAAGTATGTACGCAATTGATCTCCGCTTTCGTGACTCGAGGAACAAACACGAACATGTAGCGCCGTCGTAATATCTTTGGTCAGCTGCCAAAAATGGGTATCTTACAACACCGCGCCTTATTTTTTGGTTTTCCCAGATACCCTGAGGGAAAATTCGAAGCAAAATTTAAATTAAGTTCGGTGACTTGAGCCTCGCGAGAGGTTCTCCAGAACTCACTTCTTCTTCACAGGCGGAGAAGCTGTTTGGAATACAGATGATGCATCCATCAGGTTTTCAATGTACTGGCTCAAGACTTGGTTTTCTGAACGGAGTTTCAAATTTTCTTCTTTCACCGAATCCACTCTTCGGGACAAATCTGGAATGCAACGGAAAATTACGTCAATGATGATTGGAAATAAATGCGCGAAGTACCTTGGATAGAATGTTCATCCCAGGAATGTTCATTAATACCGGTATCCCAACAACTCGAAAACGACACGTATACTGCACCTAATTATAATACTGTATACTGTACCGCAAACAATTTCCAATAGAATTTGGACTGCCGACGCAGAGAAGGAATACAAAATTAGATGATGAACATTTTCAACCCTAATTCATAATTGGTTCCTCAACACCACACGAAAAAGTTGGTTCACATCGAGACAACAGAGAATTTTTAAAAGCGCGTCGCCAAAGAAGTTTCTAACGATTCAAGGAACTTTACAATTCCGCTGAAACTTTTGGTTTGGAAGAGTAGGAACAAAATCGAATCATACTCCTTTCCATTTCAGATGTGTTAGTGAACTCTGCTAAACGAAAAAGTAGTGTTACAAGTCGAGGACAAACAAATTCAGCACGAACTCATCATATGCTGTACTTCTGAAGCAGGGACTACCTCTCAAACGGAAAAACAATCAGAGAGATTTTAAAAAAAAAAAAGGTAAAACATAAGTAGATCAATTTTCAAACATTGTCAAGCGTACCATCAAGCGTGTTTTGAAGCTCCAAAACACCAGAAATCAATCTCGCCTTCTCTTCCTGCTCATCTTGAGTCACGTCCCCATCAAGACCTGAAAATGTCAACACAAGGTTCTGAAAATGAGAGCCGCCAACTCCAAAACTGCATGCAACCAGAATTTACATTCGGCATCTGAAATCAACTAAAAAGAATAATGCTTACTGTTGAAATCGCCACTGAGGCCGTTCAACAACGAAGTGATCGACTCAACACTGGCCTGAATTGACGCAGCAGGAGGAATGCTGCATGATGACGGATCATCACTCAGAATCACTAAGAAAAACGATACAGTACTTTTCAGCACACACAAAATGCGATCGAATGAGGAATAATTCATACCTTGGACATCCTCATCCGCCAAGGGGATATCACCATTCTCAAGCGCACTCGCGATCTCGGATTTCTCCATATTTTACACTCACATTCGATCTTGAAATAAAACAGACGAGAACCACTGTCAAGAAAAATAGCCTCGGAAATGGCCAATCGCCTTTCAAGGCGTTTTATACAAAGCAAAACAAGGTTAGAAATGTTTCCGTTTCGGTCTATCCTCTTGTTCTTCAACGCGTTGCCGCTTTGCCTCCCAGGGATTCCCAGATCGGGTTTGGTAACCTTGCTTCGCTTCTTGCATCGCCTTTGCTTGATCATCCTTCTTGTACCTGTCAAAAAAAGAATTCCGCTCAACTCATTGGACATACGACGAAGAGCTGAAAGTCACGAACCTGGAATGAGATCCAACCATGATTTTCTGGGCACGATTCTTCTTCAATCGCTCAAATTCATCGATAGCGTCCTGAATACCTTCACGCATTTCTGCTAATTTCTTCATGGTTTCTTCAGGGTACGTACAACCTAGGATTTCTACATTGATGAACGTTTGCGCGAGACAGACCAATTCACTCTCCGGCACTTCACCCATATAGCGCTCAAAAAATGCCTTCTTCAACTCCCAATGCGCTTCAGGATCGTACTTTGATTTATACTCCGAAATATCGAACATTTTCACTCACGCAACAAAAGCTGAACCTGAAAAGCAGGAAACAAATGAATGATCTCGTTCGAACTACTCACGAGTCCTACCGAACCAACGGAATAGAGCAGTGCGATTATGTTTGAATAAGGCAAAAAGATATACAGTATACTGTTATCTAAAAACACATCCACAATTAGCATCGAAAAATGTCCACAGATTATTATTCCATTCCCTCAAGAATCACAAGTTTTTCCGCAAAAACAAAAATTTGGCTAAAAATCTTGGATGGAGTTGATAAAATTAGACATCCATTCATTTCGGAGGACTGTTAACCGTGTGCCTTTCACAAAATCTTCTTTTCCCTTGAGGTCTTTCCAAATGTCATAAATTCTACACCAACTCAGAGTACGGAACACACAACACTGAACATGAGCAAGAACCACAGAACAGACTTTCCCTCTACCAAAAATAATGCTGCCATTCACAGTCAGAATTAAAAAATCGTCTTCCCTGATTAATGATTGTCAACACGCAATCAATTATCCAAAGCAAAACTTTTCACGGTCATAAGCCGCTATCCGAGGCGACCGTTACCTTGGTTGCCATTTCATACACCGTTTGCAAACCACAGGCTTCAGATCGAGTTTGGTAACCTTGCTTTGCTTCTTGCATTGCCTTTGCTTGATCATCCTTTTTGTACCTGAAACACAACGCCCAACATTCCAGTTTTCAAGCGAAGACAGGAAGAACTGAAAGCTACTTACCTAGAATGAGATCCTATCATGATTTTCTGAGCTCGATTATCCTTCAACCGCTCGAATTTGTCGATTGCATCCCGAATTCCTTCACGCATTACAGCTAACTTTTTCACCGTTTCATCGGGATAAGTACAACCGAGGATTTCTGCATTAATAAAGGTCTGCGCGAGACATACCAACTCAATCTCAGGTACTTCATCCATATAGCGTTCGAAAAATGCTTTCTTCAACTCCCAATGCGCTTCGGGATCGTGCTTGGATCTGTATACAGTAATATCGAACATTTTTACCGAATAAACGAACCTGAAAAAAAGTAGTTCATCATGAATATCTTAGATCAGGCACATAGAAAATGTGAAGCAGTGGTTCGACAACTGTACTCCTCTACGCTCCAACTGATCTAGGTTCCCTTGCCATTTTAGGAAGAAGATGGGATGAATTCAAGGAGTATGAAAGAAAACAATGATAAATTCAGGATTACACGATTCGGCTCATAAAACAAGAGGCACGGACTTCAATGAGTACTTTCTCGTTCTATGTCCAAAAATGATCGATGGAAAAACGGAAGACCATGACAATCGAACACCCTATTTCGCATTCAACATTATTGAAAAGACCGCAAAATTTGAATTTCGACCCTGAAAAGCACTAAGGTCTTGATCACACGATATATGAACTCTCTTTATGATCCACCCCATCTTCCTTTCATCAAAATTCACCTTTAATTGTTGAAAGAATAATAAATAGACCAGACCTTGAGGCGGTGATTGAATCTAACCTAGGTCCTTTTTTTGAGGATGAAAATCGTGGAAACCACTGATCGAAACGAATCGACGACTGAAGACGAGCATTTCTTTTCCGTTCCGGTAACACAAATCATAACCAGGCATCGAATTGGCACCCACAAATCTCCAAATATAACTAAATGAATTGGTACGTATCACAGGTCAAATGTGAAGTCCACAAAAATTTGAGTTGAAGACTCATGGTTTCAGGCCAATTAGCGCTTTGAGCTTCTCTGCAGCCTCCTCTACTTCGAGTTCCGAACGTTCCAATCCTTCAATAGCATGTCGAACTTCCAAAACCTAGAACACGGTATAACCGAAGTCACCTCCGAAGAACACACATAATTCCAGCTAGAACTTACTTGTGCATCGTACAAGTCGTAACGGCGCATTTTCATGGCGTTTTGGAAAAATTTAGCAATCAAAAGAAAACACGTAGCACATAAAACGAGCACAACAGTTGCAAAGCAAATTGACTGCACTTTGCGACGTGAGAAAAACTTCACGTCACTTTCGGGAAGCATATCTGCGAGAAAAACATCCGTTCAACCTCATGGTCAAAATCAGGTACTTCGACACGCTGAAAAAACTGAAGCATAATTCAGAGATCGGGAAACATTTTACTTCTCGTCCCGGAACGAACGAAAGTACAAAAAAAAGAGAACGCCGGGAGGCTCGCGTCAACACACTCTTAGATCAACAGCTTCTCGATCTCCAACTGGATTGACTGGATCTGCGGTTTCAATTGCGAGTCTTCGCTCTGAATGACGGAGCACGCGACCACGGCCCGTGAGACTCCGCAGGAACGACCAAGAGCTTGTTTTGACCGCACGAAAACGTACGGTACGTTTTTGTCTTCACATAGAAGAGGAAGATGGAGCACAATTTCAAGCGGCTCGGCATCCGCCGCCATCACAATGAACTCCGCTTGTCCGCGATTGAGAGTCTTCGTAGCTAAAGCATTCAACTTCTTCCTTTACAGATTCATGAAGTAGAAAGTGGTGCACTTACCTTCGTTCGCGCCTTTCCTCATCTGTTTGTAATTCATCGCCTGCTGGACGAGGTTCAAGATCTTTTTGGTGAGCTCAGTATCGGCAAGGGGATACGCCTTCGGGTTGATTTCTCCTTCACCCTGCACATAAAAGCATCACGAAATACCAAGTCAGTACAAAAATACAAAGCGTACGTACCATATCAATTGTCGAACGTTTTCGTCGGAATGAACAGTGCGCAACTCAAAAAGATATCGTTCTGCCTGAGATTGACGAAACCCATCATATTAACAGCACATTCATCACACAACAACATTTATTTCGCGTTCACGCTCTCCAACGAACTTCACGATGAACACGATTTCGGATGTGGGTTATTTCTGATTGTGAGCGGAACTAGCCGCTCGAATTTCCAAGTCGGCATAGTTTGGTAAGCCGAAGACAATCAAAGCAGTAAAATCATACGGATTTATACCATCTTAATTACTGAGTGATTCACATGTACGTTTTCTTCAGATGTTGTATTATTTTCTTCCTAAAGTCATACACCGTTCCACACATTCACACTTCTCGTCGGCATTAAATGAAATAATTTGCAATCGTCAAGCATCAAGATGCTTGATAGCTGGGAACATGATGGGGGCACCTCAATATTCTGTGGCTACTCTGATCGCCAGATTTTAATACGCTCTCATTGCCCTCCTCGTCATACTTGGAATTCATCTTTATTGTAATATCCGTCTTCTCTAAATCATTGTATTTTTGGTCTGAAGTGTTGGATATGTTGTTACCATCAAGGATGTGATAAGCACTATTGCGTTCCCCAAATACACCCCGAGTTGACCGAAAAATCCTGCATGACACAAATAAAGACAAGCCCTCTGCAATCAGCATCAGAAGAAAGGCAATAAGCATGACATGTGCATTCTCTGTGGGACTGGCATGCTCCCAAGGTTCGCTGACTGCAGCTAAAATCCATCTTAATGTCGGCAAAAATATCAGCACAAATCCAGTCATTTTAACAAAATAGCAGGCTGCTGTTGCCACAGCTCCTCCCCGATTGAAGAACTGCAGCCCAAGAAAAACTGCTGCTGCTGACGCACAGAATCCTTGAATTTTTCCCAACTGAAAATTCGAAGAAGGATTATTGATCAAGTATTGAATACTGTAATGCATACAATGTTTATACAGTACACTACTTACAACTGATCCGTAGTAATTTGCGTGGTGGCTGTAAATTAAGTATGACAAGGCCAATGCAATGAAGCCAGCGGTCAGAATTGCATGTGGCAGCAGTGGGTGAAGTTTGTCAGGCTTATGGCATCCATAGATTTCAAGCCACATGTACAAAATTAACAAAGTGTATGGAATGGCTTGATGACTAGTTTCAAAAGTGACTTTTAAACCTGTTAGGAAGAGGCCATTTCCCACAATAGAGACTCCAACTGATGAAGAAAAGACCAGGAACCAATATATACAGCATATATATGCATGAAATCAATGTAGCAATAATATAGATATTCAACTTACCCATCATGGCCATCATGACAAGAGGCATCAAAAATAATAAATAAGTGTATTGTCTGAACCAGGGAGCCGATATTCTGGACAAGAATCCATCAAATTCATACTTGGAACCAAAAGCAGATGCCTTGGCTGCTCTGCAGAACAGCACCCAATTGAAATACATTCCAATTCCCACCAATAAATGACCAAAAACGAATTTCGCTCCATAACTGGAGTCCATGTCATAATCGTGTGTCATGATATGAACATCCAGGTGTATGTGATGGTGCTCAGCACTGTCGTTCATCATCATTTCCATCGACACTTCTATGATTCCACGATCAACAATCTTCTATGATACTGTTCGAACTTTTCTTTTTCACTGTCGCCCATGAACTGCAACCAAGCATGCACTGTATATGGTCCAGAAAAATGACTTCGGAAACATATGCAGTATATATATGTATAAATATACGATGTGCTGAAACGATCACGTCAACAACTCGGAAAAACTCAAGTCATACTGTATTCATGTTCATTGAAACGCGAGTCACTGTGCTGCTGCTGCACATGGAGCAGCAACGTATTGGATGACATGGAAGTTCCAAAATTAGACTCGTGTAGCTGTATCTATGTACAGTACTGTATACAGTCAGAATGTGAACTGCGGTAGTCATTGCAAAAAACTACCAAGAGTCAAGATCGATAGACAGACTCGAAGTTTCCAATTTCGAATTGCAATGAATTGTCTGATAATTAAAAAAAAAAGCGGTCATCATTTTCGAAGAGAACTTGAAGCTAGAAAATGCCGCTCCGCTAAAGTTCTGCACCGGCAGCATACGTCTTTTTATATTTATGCAAGCGTTTATAACATATTGGTAAATCTCCCAACTAAGGATTTTATATTATGGGGTACAAAAATGTTGGAACAGAATAATTTGAATTTTATTTTATCAATGAGATTCCCATAAACAAGCAGGACATACAATGTTCTTTTTTGAAATAAGAGATTATTGTTCCTTCAAATCTGCGTTTTTTTTTTTTTTTCACATGTAACACACCTGAAAGAATGTTTTTCATCCATTTTTCACAGAGTAGATATATTCATAGGAATTGTTTCGCAAAGCACCAGTGAAATATTTTTTCCCATTCAAATACTCGAATTTCGTATTAAAGAAAATCTCGTTATAAAGAATATAATGTCATATAATGTATTCTCGAAACTGTTCTGGAATTTAATTCCATAATTCTTTAAACTTAATAGGTGCTTTGCGTGCATTTACCAACAGCAAATGGAGGAAGATTCCTGATGAGATAAAATATCCAAAATGATTATTCTTGCTGATTCAATGAAAATGCAATAAATGAGCCGAAAACTCAATCCAGAATTTTCATACTACTCAGGAAATGAATAAAAATATCCTGCATTTATTTTTATTTTCATCCAAAAAGTCGTCAACATAGGAAATCATACATGAAAAAAATTGAAACAAAAATCTTCCTTCGGATTCAAGTAATATTGCGCATCTGATAAATTATCAGCAATGTCAATAAATTAAAATTGCCAATAGCCGAGATTTTCAAATTCCCAGCATTGCAGAGGTTCTCCAAACAAAAACAGGCGTAATGCCCCAAGGGCAAACCCTCGACCACTCGGCATCCAGGCTTCTCCCTCACAGTAAAACTGCAACCCCGAAAATTGACTCGTGCTGAAAAAAAAGATCAATCATTGTAATTAAATCTTCCAAAAGAAAAATGAAGCAAAGAAAAATGTTGAATGAAATCTCCACGCTATAAGTATAATTAACCTTGCGACTCGTCCTCGAATATCACTCCGCACAACTGCGATTTCAAGCAATGCACGGTTTGATTGGCATTGAATTCGCGACACGAGTCAGCATTTCTGCAATAATAGCACGAAAGTCTCCTGTTTCCTTTTGCGTCTTTGGTCGCACTCGCACTTGTTTTCTGCAGGACATCATGATGAATATTATCTGGGGGATAAAGCTCGACGTTTATCAAACCGAAATTATCAAGAAATTGATGATCAACACAGAATCCGCGGTTACAACATGACGACGAACTTCGGAGCTTCAATAGAAAATTTCCGTTCGAAAAACATTTTCGATTTGAGATTATTTTCACCATCAGGCGGTATTTTTTGAAATTTTAGTCGTGGATGTCGGTTTATAATGATAGTAACTTTTATTTTGTATACGAGATGGTTTCTTCGCAGAAATAAATATCTAGCTGTTATCATTCAATAATAGATGAACATGTGAACGCCAATTATCTGGCGAATAATAATTAATATTTATATTTCGTTTCGCAACAATAATTATTCGAATGTCTTCCATTACAAATAGAATAAAAATTTGAAATTATAGCTGTATTCGTATTAAGTATAGGTAAGCTGATGTTTAAAGAAGAAGCATATCAGATGTGAAAGATGCTGGTAATCCTGGTATTATTCGTTGTACTGTATCATATTTCTTAAGTATTATAGATCGTCATCATTATTATAAATGGAAATTTCCTTCCCCGCCTACTTTTTCATTCACTTTTACTGTTTTCCAGTGTTAAATACAGTACTGTAATATTATTGACACTTTATTTTGTCTTTCGTTCTCCCATATACATTAGCTGATTTTGAGAGAGAAATTTTGGATGAAAATCAAGGAAATCTCTAGGAGAAAATGAATTGATTGCAAAATATAACGAAGTTTCACAAGAATACCTCCAGGGATTGATGACGCCCAGCTTTCATTGAAAGTTATTGTAACTTCAATGCACAGGATTATGCAAGCGACTGGTGAAAGTTTCATTGTCGCACGAGATCTAACAGTTCACGTCGGATTTCAGCGGACTTCAAGTTGAAAATAATAACTATCTATGAATTCTGCAATAACATATTAATTTTCAGCACCCGCGCTTTAATATTGTTGCTGGATCTCGAAAAGGAATGTTCCAAGCAATAAAGTGCTGCTGGACCTGGACGGAAAAGCATCACAGGACAGTTTTATAGAACTTATTGTTATTTAACTGATGTGGAACTGTGCTAATGCAATCCGCGCAGAATCCCGTTCCAATTAAATTTTGAAGACCCCTGCTCAATTCTTGGAACCAATAATAATTTAAATTGGATCGAATATGCTGAATACCGTACGGCACTGCACTTCCTTAAAAGCCCTGAAAGAAGCCTCATCCATCAGTCAACGATTCAAACTGGAAACTGCATTTCCTCCACCCTGTTTGTCAACTCAGTGAGGACGTCAACTCTGCAGATATAGCGACATCTAGTAACTGATAGGGCAAGGACCTTCGACGCTCCTCAATCCCAACCGATTCTATTAGAATCTCATATCGTCGCGCACTTCGTGGGAAAGGCGCGCTTCGAGAGATCTATCATGTTCTGTACTGTACAGTGAGAGATCCTTATCACAAAAAGAACACAAACACCGAAAACACATTACTGCCAAACACTATCTCTCCCACAGATCGCATAAAACCGCAAGGACACGACCCTAAGCCGAACCGGGGAAGCACATCCGACGAACCGAACAAGGGGAACCTAACGGACCCCAACCAGGAACAACATCCGCCGCAGAAACACAAGAGAACCTAACGGGACCCAGGGTCAACAGCACCAGCACTTAAGCGCGCAAAAAGGGACAACGCTTCTTCCAATCATTCTACAACGCGCCCAGTGCCACTCTTGTGACTGTTCCCGAATCTCCTACTTGTGCAAAAGAAGAAAATACAATCACCAGTGTACCTGACCTCCTTCAACCACCGTACATTTACTATACTGGCCGAACACTTACTGGGGGCTCGTCCTGCCAACAAAAAACCGAAAACCGAACCCATCCCCGACCAAACCAACAATGCCACGTGACACTGAGACCTCTCGCGCCGCGGAACGTGCTGCCACCGAGCTGGCACAACTGCAAGCAGCATGTGCGGCGTCTCTTGTGCCACCAACGGACCTCCCGGGGCCCTCTGCGGAGAACGCCTCGTCCGACGCATCATCGACAGCGCTGGGCAGGCCGCCCAGCGCGCTTTCATCCACCTCCACACCGCATCCATGGGACTTCATATCCCTCCAGACGTTGCAACGCTTCACGGAGACTTACGTGGCCGAAAGGCCCCTGACCGGAGAAAAAACCAGCTACGTCACCTTGTTGGAAAACCTACAGATTTCACCAGTAACGTTACTCATGTTTCAGATATCCAACAATGACGAAGCAGGGCACACCACTCTCATGTCAGGGCCCCGCATACCGCCACCGCCATCGCGGTGCGTACACGATCACCGGGCACCCGACCTGCCAAAACAGTGCGCGGACAAAGACTTCGAAGACTACGCCATCCGGCTCCGGGAATTACTGATCATCGACAACGTCGACGACAACGACAAAGTCCGCTGCCTCATCCACAACACGTCCCGCGATGTCTCGAACACCGCACGACGGGCGTATGCCACGGGGGCCCGCACCTTCGAAGAAATGGTGAAAGCGATCACCCGTTTCCATCCCACACCGCAGTACAAACGCCTGCGCCGATTCCGAAAGCTGCAACTCAAAAACAACGAGACGTACCGATGCTTTGCCAAACGACTGCAAGACGACTATCAGCTGTTCCTCAGACTGGCACCTGACGACATCACCCCGGATCATCTTCACGTGATGCATCCAATGCTCATCAAACAGCTCCTTCAAGTGGCGGATGGACGAATTGCTGACAAACTCCGAGCAAAGCTGAATACAAAACCGGACATCCAGTGGGACGAACTGATTGACCTGGCCGACAGTATCCGCAACCTGCTGGACGAACAATCAGACACCGGAACCGGACCCACAACCAACAACAAACCACGAGCAGACCGCCCACCCCGGGCGTCCCCGGGAACCAAGCTATACTGCGACTGGCATCGGTCCCAGGGACACACAACAGACACGTGCAGGGCCCGCTTCCGCGAAACCAAGCACCCCGCTTACACAAAACGGGACCGCGACGACAAGGAGAAGACCGACGGTGCTACTGCCAGCAGCGTGCTACCGTGTGCAACCTGCCAGAAAACGGGACACCACGCCAAGGAATGTACCCAGCAGACGGGAAACGGATGGAGGGAGTAGGCACGGCGGCGCTCTGCTTCCTCAACACTGTCGCAACCGCCTCCAACCCCATCCTCATCCGCATTGCCATTTGCAACCAACAGTGCGACGCGATGATCGACACCAGCGCCTCCCACTCCTTCATCGAGCATCAGTGGGCCACCCATTTGGGACTGTCCTATATATCGACGGACGTAACGGTGTCTACCGCGGACACAACCAACATCCGCATCACCGCCAAAGTACAAGTAGATCTGGTCATACACGAGCGACCCTACCCAACGCCCCTCTGGGTACTCCAACGCGCAGCCCACCGCATCATCGTGGGACGCGACCTCATGAGCCAGTTACCCCTCACCATTGGCCTGGAAGGCAACCGCCTGTACGTTGGCTACCGCTACCACTCCAAACGACGGGCCCAGCCAGCCCTCATCGCAGGCCACGGCATACACTTTGTCGATGGTACGACACACGAACAACAGGGAATCCGCGACATCCTGCTCCAGCATCAGGACGCCGTCTTCCAATGGTCCGGACAATGGGGATGCCTCCCCGAGTACACCGTCACACTGGATACCACAGACGGGGCACCGCCAGCATCCCCACCATTCCGCCAAGCGCCGGACAAACTCGCACCTTTCAAGGAAATCATCGCGGAATACGTCCAGGCCGTCATCATTGAGCCGGCAACGTCCCCCTACAATTCACCGGCGTTCCTCACGCCAAAGAAAAACGGACAACCGGATGCCCCCGCAGGACAGCGATGGCGACTCGTCGAGGACTACCGAAAACTCAACACCTTGCTAGTCCAGGACAACTACCCGATGCCAATAATCCAGGACCTGATCGATGCCCTGGGCCGACGCAACGCGTTTTTTTGCACAGTGGATCTACACAGCGCTTTTCACCATCTGCCCATTGTGCCCCAAGACCGCCCAAAGACGGCCTTCTCGACGCCCCAAGGACAGATGCAGTATGCGGTACTGCCTTTCGGACTACGGAACGGGCCAGCACTGTTCCAACGCGCCATCAACTCTATCCTGCAGCCACATCTCCTAACAAAGTGCCTAGCCTACATTGACGATATTATCGTCTTCGGCGACACCTACGCTGTGGTGTGCCAAAACCTCCAGGACGTCCTTACAGCCCTGGACGAGGCTGGGGCAGCTATCGACATCGCCAAATCCACCTTCCTCGCCACCCAGATCGAGTTTCTGGGACTAATCATCGACCAAACTGGAGCACGGCCAGCTCCACACAACCTGACCGCGGTGGAGCAATATCCTCGTCCTAGCACCACGAAAGAGATGCAGCGGTTCCTAGGCCTTGCAACATATCTACGGGCCCATGTACCCCTCAATTTTGCTACGGCGGAGAAAGTGCTGCGCACCACCATCCCGGCCAAACCTAGCATGACCCTCCGGTGGTCAACACCGGCTGAGACCTCGTTTCACGATCTGAAAACCGCGATTGCCAACGCAGCTCAATTGGAACGCTACGACAAACAGCAACCTATTGAAGTGCACACCGACGCCTCTGCCACAAGCCTTGGGGCGGTCCTGGTCCAGGTACACCCCGAAACCGGGCCAGCCGTCATTCAGTACGCCAGCCGGGTACTCACAGAGACGGAAACGCGATACACAAACACCAAACGCGAGCTCCTTGCAATGGTTTGGGCCGTAACAAAGAAGTTTCGTCACTATTTGGAGCACCAAGCGTTCCGAATGATAACGGACCACCAGCCGCTCCTTGGCAAACTCAAATCCTCCCGCCTCATTCGCATGCAAATGAAGCTTGGACAATACCAAGGGGAAATCGAATACCGGCCTGGCGCTTCCTTACACGCGCCCGACGCCCTCAGTAGGGTCTCCATCCAGGCAGCCGACCTACGCCTGGCGGTGCACCCGGGACAATACCGCGAAGTCATAGAACGCTACCACATCGATCTGGGGCACGCACACTGGAAGAAAGTGCTGCACACACTCCGCGCACGCTTTTCCTGGCCACACATGCGGCACACAATCTGGCGCCAACTCGTGGACTGCCCCGAATGCTTCGCGTACAACGACAGCACAAAAATCACAGGAGAACGCATGACCGGAATACCAGTGACAAAACCGTTCGACCGACTCTGTATCGACTTCTACGGGCCCCTCCTGCGATCTACCGGGCTACACAAATACGCGTTCATAGCAATGGACCAATTCTCCAAGTTCCTGGTCGCCACCCCAGTACAACGAGCGGATACGGCAACGGCCATTGCCAACATCCATACTATCTTCCAGGAAGTGGGAAAGTTCCGCACCATCCACTCGGACCGCGCTACAATCTTCAAATCTCGTGCCTTTTGCCAATTTGTGACACCGGCGGGGTGCGAACAACACATTGCGCAGGCCAATCACCCGGAGGGCAACGGGACATGCGAACGGGCCATTCGCACCATTGGACAAATCCAGGCAAAACTGGCAAAAGGGGACAGTGCCAACTGGCATATCTACTTACCGACAGCCGTGGCGGCGTATAATCTCACGCCACATACCTCGACGGGGGCTACACCAAGCGAAGTCTTCCTGGGCAAGGACCCACGCATGGAGGCCAACAATCACTTCGGCGCAGTTCCGCCGAACGCTGTAAAAACCGAAGCAGTGGCCAACTATCTCCGACAACAACAGCGGCAATCGTTGCAGCAGGCCAACCGGGCCAAACACCCCACCTTCTATCCGGGGGATATGGTCGCTGTACGCCCACGCACCGCATCCACTGAACTCCATGCAGCATCCCGACGTTTTCGCAAACGACGCCTTGGTCCATTCATGATCCTCCGCCTGCTTGCGCCAGGCCAGTACACCGTCGGCACCGATGCCCGCATCGCCATCATCCCGGCATGGGAACTACAACCCTGGGTGCATGGGACCCGGGCCCCTCAACAGGGGTACGAGAAACACCTGAAGTTCCTCTGTGCACCGACAACACGGGAACCGCCGACAGAGACAACAGAACACCACTACGCCCGGCCACACAACCGTTCTGACACGGCAGACCATGTCTGCAAGCACCTTTATTGCACGGCCGTCAGGAATCGGACACGCGGGCCCTGCCTACTCACGGGGGCCAACGACCCCTCCACTTGGCAACAAGCGTCTTTTTGGGGGGGGGAGAGTGAGAGATCCTTATCACAAAAAGAACACAAACACCAAAAACACATTACTGCCAAACACTATCTCTCCCACAGATCGCATAAAACCGCAAGGACACGACCCTAAGCCAAACCGGGGAAGCACATCCGACGAACCGAACAAGGGGAACCTAACGGACCCCAACCGGGAACAACATCCGCCGCAGAAACACAAGAGAACCTAACAGGACCCAGGGTCAACAGCACCAGCACTTAAGCGCGCAAAAAGGGACAACGCTTCAGTACTACAACAACCTCCTGACACTCCGCAGCTCCGTCTCCAATCATTCTACAACGCGCCCAGTGCCACTCTTGTGACTGTTCCCGAATCTCCTACTTGTGCAAAAGAAGAAAATACAATCACCAGTGTACCTGACCTCCTTCAACCACCGTACATTTACTATACCGGCCGAACACTTACTGTACAGTACTGTACTCCGGTGGACTGAGATTCTCGTGATTTGTGATATTCGGAGTTCGACCAACTCGCTCTGTCCCGGACGAATGAATTAACTGAACTGGGACGCAGCTCTGATTGCATGATGTTCATACCTGTGCTTGATAATGGATTAATGGTACAGTACTAGATTTTATTCTATGATTTCCAGAGGAAGGGGAAAAAAGTGCTTGTTCTGTAACACTGCCCTTTACATTTACAGTACTGAACTTGGCCGCGCGTCATGCTAGAAATTTCGTGCGAACGCGAAGAGCGTTATCCGGACACGTCCGGTCAACAAAGTAGAAGGCGAAAAAGGAAGAGGAATAGAAACTTTCCGGTGGAAGACAATTCGGAGCCAGAACGTACTTTTCGGCCGTACAATTATTTCATCGGTTTCCGTGTGGACAATCCACAGGTACCAGCTCGATTGCACCTCTTTATGTAGTAGATGTTGAATAGTGGAGCAATCGAATCCTTTTACTCCTTCAGTTGGTCGAGAACTTGCGGAGAGTTCAAGAGGCCGTTGTGGAAAATGCACCACAGCTTCAGCGTGCCATGATTTCTCCGGCCACGTTTCACATCACGCTGGCTGTTTTAAAATTAGCCACAGAGGATGATGTGAAAACTGCAACCGAAGCACTTTCTGGGTGTGATTTAACTACAGATATCCCGTTGGAAGTGCCATTTGCATCCTTGGGGCATTTTGATAACGAAGTCCTGTTCGCTAAACCAGCTCCTGGCGATTCGTTGGATCAAATATACGTGCTGAGGAGGAAGCTTGTGAACATATATTCCGCGTACGACGAATTTGAAGTTGTAGACCGTAAGGAGTACCATCCGCACTTGACTTTGTTCAAACTCATTCCGAAGAAGTTCCGATGCGAAGTGAGTGTTCACTCTCAAGTACAGTACTTCAGTGATGAGAGAAAAAAAAAGAAACACCAGGCAAAAAGCACGACGCAAAAATGACCCATGGTTTCTGTTGTGGGATATAAACTCTCCTATTGCGGAAAGTGAAATTAAAAATTTTAAGATCATATTTTGCTAATTTATACAACACGTTTACGCTTCTAAAAGTCTCTGTTTTAAACTTCATTGTTCGGTGCCTATTCTACTGCGAACTCGGGTTTACGCCAGTTGCTTTAGCAGTATGCGTTTATTAAATAAATTGGTTATGCATTCGTTATATACTGAGTCATATCTCTGTGAATAGTTTTCGTTCCAGTAGACTTCTGAGTTCTGAAGTCAGGCTATGTAGAAGAAAATGATAACACATTTTTAATGTTGGCATGGATTCCATCTTGCGGTGTGAAACAGCTGATCATATAGAATGAATTTTGCTGGGCTAATGTGCTATTGGGAGCTTTTCTCCTGACCGCCTTCAGTGTTCCGATCCCTGTGAAAAATATTAAACGTTCTATCCTATTTATGAGGTGAAGAAAATTTTGCCGGAATGGTACGAAGAGCACAAGCTGAACGTCTTTGGAACACAACGTGTTGATGATGTGAAATTGCTTGCGATGATGAAACCGAAGGCTGTCTGCGGATTCTATCATTCTGTGGCAAGTTTTCAACTTCGTGAGTATAAACCTCATGAAGTAGATGGTGTGAATTCCTGACTAATTTCGTTTTAAATCATGTCAGTGGTTCGAGAATGTCAGGCATTCAGTTTGGAATATGAGGAAGAATTTGGAATATACTGATCCGATTTCTCGTTCTGGGCATGAAGAATGGACTATAGTCGATCACCGAGTGGATCAGACATCGTATTCAGCTCTACGACTTTTTTAATGGGAGTGTTTTCAAAATTTGGAAAAAAATCGAATCTTGGCATTGCTCATTTGGAAAGTCTTGGTTACCACTTCAGTGATTTGACGAAGTTCTCGGTATTTTTCGAATCGCTGTCGTCCTGTATTTTGTGAAACAAAAGCCAGTTGGACTTGGAATTTCACGAAGAGCTTGAATATTGAGTCATTCATAACATACAAATATTTTCAAGGTACAAATTTCAGGACTTGTCATTGCGTTTCACCCTCGGAGTAAAAATTACTGTACAATCTGATTTTCTGTTCGGATTTGGACCACTGAAGCCTATATCTGGATTAGTTTATCCACATTGGCGTGTGTCTTCCTGTCATTCTATCACAGTCAAACCGCAAATGAACTTCAAGGGACCAGCGGAATATTTTAGAAATTGTATGTAAAGTTAGTTCTACTAAGACTTTGGGTTCTCTTATGGGGGGGTAATCGTTCATTGCTGTATACAGGTGCCTTTCAAATCTCATTTTGAGTGTGATCGCTGTGGATTTTCGTATCACCCGGTTGTGTGAATTCGAGTTGTGAAGGGAAAATTTGAAAATCGTGGACGATGATTAAAAAGTGCGTTGATCGTAGAAATCCGACGCTTTTCTTCGAATAAAAAACAACTTTTAATTTTTGTCAACCAAACAAAATTCTGGACGTGAATGTACCCAGAGTTAAAAGAAGCGGTGTGGCCAATTCCCTCAGCTTGAAGAACCCTTCTAGAAAATCCAGTTGAAACGCTGGGTTCAGAACTGATCCCTGGTCCGTTCGGTCCCTCACAAAGTAGTCCGATAGTGAAGTGATGAACCAGTTGACAAAATTTCTTGCTTGTGCTGAATGCAGCCAGTCAATGAAGATTTCGACGAACCACTCGGGCCACGAGGAGTTTGGCGAGATTAATCCATTTTCTGTTCGACCCCCGGCTTCGACGCGAATGAACGCGATCCCCAAAATAATCGGCAATCCGATATATGAGGTTAGTTTCATGCTGATTTTCTGGTCTTTTCGGAAATTCACAATGTTCTGCAGAAGAAGAAGCCAGCGTTAAATTTGAAGTGTCAGCCCTAACAAAACGCGAACTGTGGTTTGACAAATAAAAATTATCTGTGGACTTCTTCCTCAAATCGAGTGAATTAGCAGGTGTCAGCATGTTTTTAAAAAATTGACGAGTGAAATTCATGCGTTGAATTTGCGATGAATTTCCATTAATCAGTGATGAAAGGTTAAAATTCGAACCAATTTGATAGATACGAACAGGTTCAGCCACGATGTCCGAAAAATTTGCATTTGTTTTCAGCTTCTGCTGAAGATATTCGCAGTAAATTTCACTATGCGGAATCCGTCATGGATAACAGAAATCTCTTTGTACACTTTATTTTCCAGGTGCAGAAGTGCTTTCTTCACTTCGCGAAGTAAGAAATGCCTTTTATTCGGACTACACATTTAAATACCTGATGAAAATTCAACGAAGCTGAATTTAGTCTTCGTGAAATAATAAATTAGCTGGCTTTGAAATGACTTCATTTTCGTAAATGTCCCACATATTTTTATGGTTTCTCTGGCCATTTAAAATAAATTAATTTAAACTGATCTCCACATATGTTGCTGCTTTTGCAACTTCTACTAGTTACCGGTTGGGTTGGTATCGAAAATGTTTTGGCTAGACGTGCTCATAAATAATTACTTATTTTTTTCATTAGAATTTTCGTTACTTGAAGGAAAACAGGAAAATAAAGGTTTTCTTCCATTTTCAAAACGCAGGTTAAGGCCTGAAACTGCGAGGAAACTATGATTTTATACGTTTAATAGGAATGTGCATAATTTAATTCATCTGCCCAGCATTTATTTTATAGCAAATCAAGCATGGAAGCGAATTCAGATGATCACCGTTTTATGCATATTTTACGAGAGCTTTTCTTGGCAGAGGCTCAGAAATCAGAACCAAGATTAGTTGCATCAAATTTAGCCGATTTTCACACGTCACATTCTGTTGTACATTACGTACACTTTTTCAGCCGTGTTCGCTGCTGTATCACTGACCGGCACATGCGCAAAAATTCACTGTTAAAGCACGTGTAAAGCATGCGTATTTTTTCACGCGCGCAAAATTCGTGCATGGAAATGCTGATGCGAGGCTGTTCAGCATGTCCTTCGAAGGCACCCTACAGTTTAACTTTGAAAGAACACACAACACACGTTCCGTAGCCGAGATCCGAGTGCCAAAAAATATTTTGCAGATCGTCGACGAACCGAAGGTCGGGTAAGAACTAAAGCCCATCTTTAAGGTCCATCAGGCTCTCTGGACGAGGCTATTGTAACGGAAGGAAGTAACCGTTGTTCCCTCATGCCAGTTCGGGGTTCATGACCTCAACGGATGTTATGCCAAGAACGCAATAATTTATGAGACCGGTTTCTATCCCAAGTTCCGTTTATTTACCATCTTTGGATGCGGGGTTAGGGTAGAAAAAAACAGAAGGGCGGGGAATTAAATTTTTTTCCTTTCTTTTTTTTCTTTTTCGGAGAATCAAGTTGCGTTGGGTTTGTCTTCTGATGTGCAGAAATTCAGATTTTCGATGGACGTCATGTGGCGCAGGATTTCCAGTTGCTTTCCGTTGACTCGCACGGATTTCAGGCAGCCGACGAATCCTTCGTAGTACTGCGGTGGTAATTTCGGCGGCAGATTTTTTGCACCACCTGATGGAAAAATTGAGGCGAATTCGTCGTCAAAAATTGTAACCTCTGTTCTCTATACCAGTGTTCCCCGACCAGTGGTTCGCGGACCCGCGCTGGTCCGCAGAAGGTTTTTGTCAGTCCGCGGGAAATTTTCTTCAGCATAATACAATTATAAAAAGTTGACGGGGCAGTGTATGTAAATATGTCATCTTTATTTAGAATTTGAAAAAGACCATGCCAGTTGAAATCATGAAAAAATAAAACTTGTGTATGCATACATGTCAGATTTACAGTTGTATTTTGTGGATGTTATTTTTGTCATCAATTTGAGCTTTGTTTCCTGCTTTGAAGTGATTAAATGTCTTTGAGGGGATTTGGGTTGGGTGGGGAGGAGGTTTGGATGTGGAAATCTTGATTGTACCTTGTGAATGCTGAAAAGCGGCAAATAAAGTGTTCTGTTCATTCATTCATTAAAACTTGACTTCTCCTAATAACACTTGAGAAACATTGTCACATGCTGAAATAAATTATCGTCATTTTTCATTCTGAGAAACCTTTCTCCAATCCTACCTTCCTAATTTTTTGAAGAAGTTCCACTATAGCTACTTCATTGGTTCTCAAGTTAATTTTTGCAAAAAAGCATGCATTTTTTTGAACATGCACAAAATGTTATGAAACTTTGCTGGTCTGCAGAAGATTTTTTGGGAATTTATCAGTCAGCAAAATTTGCTATGGAATTTTGCTGGTCTGCAGGCCCAATAAGGTTGGGGAACACAGCTCTATACTTAATGTCTTGCATAATGAACTTTTCATGCTGTAGACTTTAGCTGCCTTTGGTTTTGCTTTGGACAATAAGACTTGCTTAAGGTAATTTTACAAAAAATATTTTGCTGAAAAACTGAAGATACTGTACTTCTGAGGAATTTGGTTGCCAGAGCCTGTGTCATAATTTTTAATTTTTGCCATGGTTCAGCTTTGTGTGTTATTTTTGGATGCGTGAAATTTTTTTATCCCAGTTCTTCTCATTTGATTCCAATGCTATTCTAATCACGCATAGGAAGGAATTTTAAAATCAGTGGCATAGGTGAATTATTTTCACTTCTATTGCATAATACATTTCAGCCTCTGAATATACAGTAATTTTGAATTTGTAAATTTGGAATTTCCACAAAAGAAAAAGTTTGTGAGCCACATTTATATTTGTTAACTGAGCAGTTTGTTAAGTAAGGATATGTTAAGTAAGGATACTGTAGATCTGTAGTAATTTATCACTGACATTTTTGAAGGTAATCTGGAATAACTGACATTGCCAAAATGAGGGAAATAATGCCTACAAAGCATCAGTAAAAGGCACAGTCAAATTATTGCAAATGGATCTTGAAAAAGGGGGTTAGAAGTAACAACAACAAAAACAGCTACTATCAAAACCCAGAGTTTGATTACATTTGATGAGCTTTTGGCATTATAATCTCCTTTTTATTACGCCAGAGTGAAAATAGAGTATTTTTAGAGTTTTTAGGGTTAAAAATGTGTATGAGTTTGCTTCAGAAATCTGAGATTTAAATGCCTGAAAGCATTTCTACATTTTTGATACCAGAACATTTCCATAGACCAGTAATATCTTCTTACAACAAAGCCATCAAGATCTGGAAAAACTTCATTAAAAGGAAGCATTTCTTGGAAGTGCTACAAATAATGCTGTTGCTATTGAGCAAGGACCTGTGAAAAATATTATTGTAGCACAGCAATGCATTTTTTATTTGAGGTTTATTGTAACAAGATCCTACCACAGTATTGAGAATATAGTAGAATTTTAAGTATGTATATAATAGAGTATATTGCACAGAAGAAAGGGACTGGAATGTAATCCTTGGAGTGATCCTTCCAGCACTTCAATTTCTCATCTCAAGGGTAGCCAGAGGGGTGAAACAATTTATGTTTATTGAAAAATAAATGAAGGAGCCCAAGAAAGTGGCATAACATTGCTTCTGGTTGCATAGGTTGTGTCAAGAATTCATATTTGAATTTTAGAAAAGTACTTATTGCATTATGTGAAGTGTTGTGCTGCTCACCTATCCAAAGTTTGCCATTCGAATTGAGAGTTGATGCCCCTGGGGCAGCCAGTCTTCTTTGAGGGTTGGAGTCATCTACCTGCAGAAAGCTCAAGCGACGTTTTCTTCTCACTTCCACTCTGTGCCAATTGCCATCATTCACTTTCACCTGAAAATGAAATAAAATGAGATTAGGAGACACACTTGTAAAAAAGGTCCATTTGATATTTTGATTTCTCTACAGGTTTTCCATTTCAATTTCCACCAGTATTGCATAAATTTGAGAACAAGTAGATTAAAGACCTTGCTTTTTCAGCTTAAGTTAGGCAACAATCGTAATCCTGTATGAAAAAAAAATTGGTTCTCAGTGAATTTATTGATTTATTTTAGGAACTAAAATAGTCTTGAAACTGTCATTTATAATTAAATGAAAGTTGAATTCAATTGCATTTCATCTGCCTTTTTTTTCTATTTGACAATTTGCAGCTGTTGGATCTATCAAAGACTTGATATTGAACATAAATTTAGTCTCAATTTTAATTCCAGAGAAATTGTTTTGTAGACAAGATCATTGTAGAGAGAGAGAGTACACCTGTAACATTGTAGAAAAAAATATAACAGACCATAGAAATACTGTACAATAAAGTACTTATACTCCAGCGCCATAATAAACTACTGTAATGATTAAAAAACCGTACCTAATTATTTTATAGTTTTAATGATTAAAGATGGTAAGTAATATGCTGATGATGCTGATTTTTTTTTACAAGGAAGGGAATGGATTGATCACCTGTGACTTGAGAAACACAGGTCTCGTGTTTCTGCCTAAATTGTACCCCAGCTCCACAAATCCGTATGAGAGAGAAATGGCGAGAAAATCTCGGGATGCCCCGGGGCCAGGTTTCCCAGACCAAAGCAGAAGTCCTGATGAAACA